TTAATCTGTAAATATAAAATGTTCATGACATAGTGCCTTTACTTTGTTTTAGGTGATTAACAACAAATGAAAAAGCAGTAAAAAAACACACACACAAACACCTGTGTGCGTGTGTGCATGCTAAGTCACTTCAGTCATGTCCAACTCTTTGCGACCCTATGGACTGTAGCCTGCCAGGCTCCTCTACCCATGGGATTCTCCAGGCAAGAATACTGGAATGGGTTGCCAAGCCCTCCTCCAGGGGATCTCCCCAATTTGGGATCAAACCTGCAACTCTTGCATTGCAGGTGGATTCTTTAGCACTGAGCCACCAGGGAAGCCCAAACACATACCTACAAAACCCCAAATCTTTAGGATATTCATAAGTAAAACAAAAGAAAAAGGGTACCAACTCTATGAATTATGAACAAATGAAAGATTCTAGCTAGTTCATTAATAACAAACTGATTAAACACATGTATATATATTTTCTGTCTACTGGCTTTACTAAAAGCACAGTTTATTGGTGATTCTTTGTTTTCTTCTGGATTATCTTTTCCATTGATTGAGGTCCTCAGATCACCTCCCCCAAATCTTTTGGTGTGAAATGTCTGTATCACATCAATTGAGGACTTGGTTACATAATATTATAGATGTCTCTGTAATAGTTACTTGACACTCAGGCAAGAAATATTCATGAGCATCTTCTCATTTTGAGTCCCTAGGGCTGAGGGCTAGGACTGAGAATAAAATGATGGATAAGACAGATACACCTCCCAAGCCAAAAAGTTCTTCATGATGTATGTTTTAAAAATGCTTTACCTTCAGTCCCCACTTAGCCAACAGATTCTATTAATCTGGAAAAAAGAGCTGGGCTAAATTGAACAAGTATATTCTTTGGCAAGCTCTTGTTGAGTAAATCAATGTAGATTTATATTAAGGAAGGGACAAATCCATTCTTAATACAACTGATCTTTCTTAAGAAAGATCACACATATTAAGAATTAATTTCATTATATTTCTTTATCGCTTAAGAGAGAAAGAGGTGACTTTTAAGACCTCTACTGCCTATTTAAACTCCCAGCTGATGAACATGAACTCTTCAGATGGACACAACTATATGCTACAACGCTCACAGCCTTCCTTACCCAGTCTTCCTGATCCAGGGAGGAACTGAGTTTCCCATTTTATGCCTTGCTCATGTCACTCTATCTCCTCAACTGGAAAAACTTCGTCCTTTCCAGTGACTCATGTTGGTGACTTTCAGGAACTCTCCTAAGACGCCGTCATGAATTGCTCTACTCTGCAGGACCTAACACCACAGGGACCTGCGCACATCCATCTATGTTTACAACAATCTAGCTATTCTCCAGAGGTTGCATGCTCCATATGTATCTAAAGCCTTCTACCACATCACTAAGCACTGTAAAATGTTGTTTTCTCATTTTTTTTTTGGTCTTTCCACAGTCAACATTAACCCAGAAAAGTCTAAGGAGACAGCAAATACTCAGTGAAATTCTGTTAAATGAATAATGAATCCAAAGCACCACTAGCACTTCCCCTGGACCCAGGATCCTGCTTGGAAAAACAGAGTTTGGAGGAACTTATAAAATAATGGTTTGCAAGGGCATCATCTCAAATTTTTCTTCCTGTCTCAGAGGAAATCTAAAGGAAATAGGTAAGTGCCCCTATGGCTACAACCATAAATTCCACCAGTTGAATCTAATGAATCAAGTGAGGATTGTAGCAGATCGATGCCTAGCACAGAAATGGATATGAGATCTTTCACTGGAATGGAAAAATGAGAAGTTGTTCTAAGAATATTTTAGGACATCTTTCAAGACAATTTAGCTATTGATAACCTAGTAAATTTCAACTTTAGGATTGTGTTTTCAGGATGCTTTAACTTAAAAAATTCATTTGGTGAAGACAGTCTGTAATGTGTGTGTGTGTGTGTGTGTGTGTGTGTGCGCGCGTGCGTGCATGTATTTAGAAAGATACACTGGCATAGCATTAGTGCTAATAATTGACATGACAAGAGTTTATTAAGACACTCCTTAGTAATTAAAGACAAGGTACTTGGGACTCTCTTGGATAATGCTTATAATGTAATTAAAAATGTTTACAAGAGCAGTATAAAAATATCAAGGCAGTTGGATGCATGAGACAAGTGCTTGGGCCTGGTGCACTGGGAAGACCCAGAGGGATTGGGTAGAGAGAGGGGTGGGAGGGGGGATCGGGATGAGGAATACATGTAAATCCATGGCTGATTCATGTCAATGTATGACAAAAACCACTGCAATATTGTAAGGCAATTAGCCTCCAACTAATAAAAATAAATGGAAAAAAAATATATCAAGGCAATAATTTATTTAGTTATGGTTATATAGCCATAATTTATTACTGAGGCCATAAATAATAACAGAATCCCCTATAAACTGGTCTCTATTATATCTGAATCATCACAATATATAATGAAAATTTAACATCCCAGAGGACTTCTTAAGAAGTGACTCTAAATCTGACTTATCATATTTAACCATACTATTAGAACATACTTGAAAAGTTTCACAAGACACAAATAAATATAAACATTGAACTGTGTACATACTGTGTTTTTTATAACACACTTAATAAAAATTTTGAACAGACTATAAATGCAATGCTACTAGTTTGAGGTTGCTACTTTGGTATTTGGTTACTGTGGGCTTGTAAAACTCAGGATGAATATATACAATTATGATGTGTCTGTAATTTCTCTGTGTGCCCAAGTCTAGTCCTCACACCATAAATACAAACAGAACAATAGTACTCCAAGCACTGATCACGAGATACACTAAATCATTTCGGGAAAGTTCTGTTTGTTATACCTATTTACCACATAACACCATACATCATACAGCTAATGGTTTGCCACTATACTGCTTCTCAGCTACCTTAATACCTCTTAGCTCTCAAGAATTTTTATCCTAAAATGCAGTAAGCAAATTCCCTGAAGTCACTAAGCAGTAAATTATAATTTATTTAACTAAATATTTTATATCATTCCCATACAATGACATGTTAAAATTTCACTTTTGATTCTAAACATTCTAAAAAATACCGGTGTATCTTTTTAGTTAAAAACTTGACATACCTATCTATCTATCCACCTTTTTGTAATTCTCTGATTCTGTTACTCTTCCAGTCTTCTAGCCTAGGATTCAAATCCATGCTTTTTATAATACAAGCAACACTCTGGTCTGCTGGGCTATAGCCCTCTGACTTGTGGAGAAATCAATGATTCTTCAAATTTTTTGGGGTCTAGTCTCAAGCCTTTGGGCATGGTGCTTGTTCTGGGTTTGGGGTCTCAGGCACCAAACTTTATTCTCTGATAAACATTCCTTTCTCAGCTATTGAAAGGTGAGGAAATGAATCTATGCTGGCTCAAAAGTATACTCCTCACTATTAATAAAAAAAAGATCTTTTTTCCCTTGAAGGATGGATAATTTAATTGGTGCTGGATCTCTGCTGCCTTGAATAAAGTTTAAATATAGTAGAATTGTGAGCATATATTTTAAAAGAGGATTCTCTTGTGTTCTTTAAATGCTTAAATATAATATCTGAAATTAATATGTTAATTATTATTAATACATGCTCAGACTATTGATAAATAAAAAAATCTAGCTTATATTTTGTAATAGTAGTATAATGAATTTAAACACATTTATTCTGGTTAAGAATCTCTAAGTTACACTAGCCTATCATGCTACAATTGAAAAAAAATTCTGTTTTTGTAGCACTACAAAACTACAATAGCTCAAAAAAATGAGCTCTTTTTTCTGATTATAGAAGTATTATATGCTCATTATAGAAAATTTATTATATACTTGCTAATAGATCAAAAAACCCTTTCTACCAAAAACCTTATTAGTTTTTTTTTGTTAATGCCTTCCTTACGACCACATAAGGACCTCTGAGTAGTTAGTAAATTGTTGGAGGTAATGCTATCAATGTGAGAAGAGAAGAGTCCAAACTGTACCCAAGCAGGTTCACAGTATACCTAACAGAAACTGAAAGGGGGCAACCTGAGGAAAAAATGACAACTACATGACTTAGAGAAAATTATTCTTAGGAAATCAACTACAGTGGGCTGCAAGAGCACTGTTCTGCAATTAGGAGTAGAAGCATAGTGAAGGAAACAGTTCTTTCACTAGTGGTGGATCCCCAAAGATATGACAGTGAAGATGGTCGAAAGTGAACGGTGCTATCTCAGAGGCAAGGCTGTCAGCAGTCCTCATGTCATGGGGAGAAGCCAGGAGGTGTCCATGTTATAAAGCCAAGACCAAAAATTAGCCCCCATCTGGAAGGCAGTATCTTTCTTTACTTAGAATATTCCCTTTGGAAACACACATGTTATTTATTAATATACAACTTTGAAAATTAAAATGAAAAATAATATAATAGCAAAACTATACACACTTGTCCAAAAGATAACCTTATTTTACTGAATGCTTTGTGCAGAAATTTTTAGCTCAAATACAAAGCACCTAAAAGAAATATTGCTAGATTTAGTTATTTTTAAGTTATTGGTGTGTGAATTAATTAAACATAGATTACTTATGTCAAACATGAAGCCTTAATTGGTTTCTCTCAGCCATAAATAAATAATCCTTTCTACCACCATTCAGCAAGAATGCAGGAACTTTAACAGATTTCAATCTTAATCAAAGAAAAACATTATTAGTAAGGCATTCTGTGTAATATAATAATCCAATACATTCAAAATGTACATGTAACTACCTTTAAAATGTTTTAGATTACCTGAATTGTTTTTATATTCCACTCGATGCCAGAGAGAAGTGAGAACTGCATTTAAAATTTTTTTTATTTCAGTTTAAAAATGTTTTAAATTACTTACTGCAGTGTTAAGACTTACTCTTCTCTAAATCTAAAAGCATTTGGCACCATAATCCTGCTGGAACACTATGATTAAAACAAACATTTCCAAGTTAAATTGCTTAACTGCTAACAGCACTTACCAATGGAAAACTGGAGGACAGAAGCTGTTGTTGTATTAAGGCTTGTGGTAATCTAGAAAAAGGAATACACAAAAATCAGACGAGATAAAGAGCAGGATAAAGAGGTAAAAGATTCAGGAGGAGGGAGAGTAAAAATTAGAGGACAGAAAGGAGCCATAAACAAGGTTATATTTGTCCAGTGATTAGCTTGTTTCTGTCAATGTTTTGTGTTTCTCTGGGAGATCCTCACTTAGGCACTCCTAGTACATTTCTCAGGGTCTTGTTTAAAACTCTTAGTGTAATTTACCAGGCACTTAACACAGCCGCCTCTACTCACTGCACCTTCCCTCATTCCTCATCAATAGGCCTGGGGCCCATAAAAATGTCATTTAAAACTGAACAAACAAAAACTGGGACCAAAATTAAAACATATAAGAAGAGTAGGAATATTTTGAAAGGTAAATAAAATTACAACAGGTAAAAGATGCAGAATTTCTTTGGAGGATGATAAAAATGTTCTAAAATTGATTGTAGTAATGGCTGCATAATTTTGTGATTAAGGTGAAAAGCTTGAATTGTATACTTTAAACAAATGAATTGTAGCATAGGATTATTTTTCAATAAAACTGTTACCCCCTCTCCCGAATAATCAAATTATAGGAGTAGAAATACTCTTCCAACACATTGCTATTATTTTCCTTTAGTTTCATGAAAAATCATGCCTAAATAGCATTTCCCTTTCTGGAAAAGGAATGGTACTTACTTTAATTTTAAATAAATTAAAAAAAATTTTTTAATTTATTTTTTTAATTCATTTGTTCAGTCACTATTTCATTCATTCTATGGAGCAGTTACTTTGACCCATACCAGATCAAGTAAGGTGAGAAATAAGGTTCTCACCTTCTTTCTTTTTTCTTTTTGTTCTCATTTTCAGTGACTTTTGTTGGGTTTCTGATCCCATGAGCTAAAGTATGGGATGCCTCCCATGACTGCACCCAATAAAATAGGAAGTAGATAACTATGTTTTAAACATGGCAGAAGGAGTAGTCTTCTTAAATGTCATAATAATACTCTTGAACTTTGTAGCCCCCATATGATGGAGTCCACCATGGCAGAAGGGTTAAGAGATACCCAGTTCATGAATCACTGTGGGAACTGGTAGACAAACAGTGAATAAACTTCTTGAAGTGCCAGAATTCAGCTGAGACATGAATATCAAAAGACTGAATTGTGTTTTCCATTTCTACAACACAATTTGGAAAGTGGTGTTGGAGTGTATGTTTTAATTATGTGGCTTTAAAATTCATGAAGAAACAGAAAAGGTAACAAAGGGGAGGGCAAGAGAGACTGTTTTATAAGTTATCTAGAGATCAGTATGGGTATCAGCTCCTAATTTAGTTTTACCATTGCAAGAATAACTGGTGTCAGGGTATCAAATGAAATTCTCCATTTAAATATTTCATTATTACAAATTATTTAAGAGAAAACTGGCCCACCAAGTCCAGAATTCTGTTTGCTATTCCCCTCCTCTCACCAGAGTCATTAGAGAAAACTGCACTAATAGAACTTTCTCAGAGAAAAGAAATAGAGTTTTGCCAAGAAAACGCACTGGTCATAGCAAACACCCTCTTCCAACAACACAAGAGAAGACTCTACACATGGACATCACCAGATGGTCAACACCGAAATCAGATTGATTATATTCTTTGCAGCCAAAGATGGAGAAGCTCTATAGAGTCAGCAAAAACAAGACCGGGAGCTGACTATGGCTCAGATCATGAACTCCTTATTGCCAAATTCAGACTTAAACTGAAGAGAGTAGGGAAAACCACTAGACCATTCAGGTATGACCTAAATCAAATCCCTTATGACTATACAGTGGAAGTGAGAAATTGATTTAAGGGACTAGATCTGAGAGACAGAGTGCCTGATGTACTATGGACGGAGGTTCCTGACAGTGTACAGGAGACAGGGATCAAGACCATGCCCAAGGAAAAGAAATGCAAAAAGGCAAAATGGTTGTCTGATGAGGCCTTACAAATAGCTGTGAAAAGAAGAGAAGCGAAAAGCAAAGGAGAAAAGGAAAGATATTCCCATTTGAATGCAGAGTTCCAAAGAATAGCCAGGAGAG